CAAATTCACAACAATCAAATCCTGTTTCTATAGAACCATCATCACCAAGAATTATTTCAAATTACTGATGACATATACATTTATTCTGTCTGAAAAATTGGTGGTTATTTGCTGCATTGTTGTAAAGTTATTAATCATTTTCAATGTATCCCCTACTTTTGTCCTGCGGGAGGGGTGGTGGAGGAGGGGGAGGGGTTACAAATATTGAGGAGGGATAGAAAAATCATAGAAAATGTTAACTGATACAAGAATCATACCTTCTGTTGAAATTGTGATAATACTGGCTATACAATTGAAATTATCTACTGTTAAGTAGGCTTGATCATTCAGTTAAATGCCACGCCCACTTTTGATTATTTAGAGGGGGTAGGTCATAGAAATTTTTTTTTTAAATATTTCTAATTGAGACTCAATCATCATTCCAATTTTAATGCATGCAGGACATATATATGCAATTTTCTAAACCTTAAAACAATGCTATTTTTGCAGCATAACTAGCTAGCATAGGATTTTTTCGTTAACTAGCCCGCCCAAAATAGACACAAATTAGCAAATTTTGACAATCAAATTCTGTTTCCATAGCAACCATTATACCTATAGTCACCAATTTTTTACCAGTTATCAATGACATATATGTGTATATATTCTGAAAAAATTGTGGTTATTCATAATGTTTTTGTAAAGTTATTAATTATTTTCTATGTACCCCCTACTTTTGTCATGCGGGGGGTATAAATATTGATTTTTTCCTAAACGCTGTAAAATTTTGCTTAATTATTGCCAAATTGTGGTGAGAATTACAAATTAGGATGTAACTAACATGGTCTCCAAAATTCTACCTCCATACCGCAATTTAAGGGCTAGCCCATAACCTAATGGCAATGCAAATTAATTTAGAAAGGGGACGTGGCACTTTTCCAAAGAATTCTTAACTTGTGTCCAAATTTCTGAAGAAAATAAATAACCAATTGTCCTGTTATTTACAGATATTATTCACATCATTATGTTTGACTATCATGGAAAGTTTCATCAGTGTTGGTTTACTGGTTACTATAGTATGCAGATTTATACCCCCTTGGTATGATTTTTAATGGGGGTACAATGAAAGCCATCTATAATTCCTAGAATATACAGCCAATCATCTTGATATTTACAGGTTATGGTCTACATATCATGTCTTACAACCATGACAATTTTCATCAATGTGTATCAATTGGTTGCTATGGAAACATAAATCATTTTTTCAAAAGTACACATTAAGGGAGGTACTATGAAAGCCATATATAATTCCTAAAATATCTAACCAATCATATTGTTATTGGCAGGTAGTTATCTACTCACCATGTTCTTCCACTATGACAAAGTTCATAAATGCGGGGCAAATGGTTGCTATGGTAACAGAAATCATTTGTTAAAAAGTACACATTAGGACGTACTATGAAAGCCATTTATAATTCCTTAAATATCAAAACAATCATTATGATATTTACAGACAATCTACTACTTATCATGTCCTACCATGATGACAAGTTTCATCAATGTGGGTAGAAATCTATTTGTTAAAAAAGTACACATTTCGTAAAATTTTAAGACACACCCTAAGACACTGAAAATCTTCATCAAATTAGGAGGAATTAGCATGACAACATTTTAAAAAACCTATTTTGAGTATGTCTGATAATATTTAATCAATGGATATTTCATCTGGGCCATTTGATATATTGTATTTGCTTATGATAATAAAACTATGCAGAATGCGGCTGTCACATTATGCGTAGGGACATAGTAAATTATGAGCTGATCTCACTTAGTCATCTTTTATATCATTTGCATCAAAATCCTCATTCATAGATCTTTCAACGTCTACTTCTGTCAAAGCATCCGTTGCAATCTTTATGTGACTATATGTCTATGAGATCATCAGGTGGAATTGGTTGGTCTGGCCAATTTGGCTCTATTTTGCCATCAACAAGTTACCACGTCACTTGTAATAAACAAACTAAGAGATAAATACAACTATTACACCCAATTAAAAATACTGGAAATGCTTCTTAATGAATTCTAAAAACAATGAACAGTTAAAAAAAAACATCAGACATAAAAAAGTTGAGAACAATAGCATGTATTACTCTGAGAGTAGAACATGTCCGTTGTGTTACGCGGTATATGGCATACATTCAGGGTTGCGCGGTAATTGTGATACGGGTGAATATGCCATACTCACCTGCGGTATATGGCATATTCCGCAGGTGAGTATGCGATATTCCGCAGTGAATATGCGATACATTGATTTCAGTGAATACCCGATACTCACTTGCAGAATATGTCATACTCACTTGCGGAATATGCCATACACCACAGGTGAATATGACATATACTGCAGGTGAAAACGTGATACAGAAAGCCTTGATTTAAATGGTTGCGAGAATCGACTATAAATGTAGAACTACGCTGGATTACCAATATAGTTAGTGCGTCGAGTACTAATATATGAATCCTGGGTTGATTGAGTAAGTTTATTACATGAGATTGGTGACTGATACTTCTGCTAAGTTAATATATTCGATACACAGTTCTGTTGATTCAGTAATCACTATAATAATTTATAACGTTTTACTTGTTCGTTCAATCGATGCAATTGACAATTGCGCACTTCCGTATCACGTTCTCATTGGTTAATGTGTATGCCATATACCGCAGGTGAGTCTGTCATACACTGCAAGTGAATATGCCATATTCGTTGCGGAATATGACATATTTTTGTATCGTGTTTACCGCGTAACACGTTGATGACCAGTGATGGCAATAAAGCGTCCACTGTTGTGATTGATGAGATGTGATAAGTTTTATGAAATGTTTCCATGCTTATTTCTCCCAAAATGATGAACATATTATGTGCTTAATGTCAAAGGTTACATGAGTCTTAGATTTTTACGAAAATGTGTACTCTTTTAACAAATGATTTCTGTTACCATAGCAACCAAATTACTAACATTGAGGCACTTGTTATACTGGTAGGATATGTAAACGGATGATTACCCGTAAATATCAAGATGATTGATTGAATATTCTAGGAATTATACATGGCTTTCATAGTATCCCCTTAATGTGCACTTTTTAACAAATTATTTCTGTTACCAGAGCAACCAATTGACCAACATTGATGGCACTTGTCATACTGGTAGGACATGATAAGCAGATGATTACCTGTAAATATCAAGATGATTGATTAAATATTCTAGAAATTATACATAGTACCCCCTTGATGTGCAATTTTTAAGAAATGATTTCTGTTACCATAGCAACCAATTGACCAACATTGATGGCACTTGTCATACTGGTAAGACATGATAAGCAGATGATTACCCATAAATATCAAGATGATTAATTGAATATTCCAGGAATTATACATAGTATCTCCTAAATGTGTATTTTTAAATAAATTATTTCTGTTACCATAGCTACCAAGTGTTAAACATTAATGAAACTTGTCATAGTGGTAGTGCATTATAAGTAGATGATTACCTGTAAATATCAAGATGAATGGCTGTATATTCTAAGAATTATAGATGGCTTTCATTGTACCCCCCTTAAAATCATACCAATAGGGTATAAATCTGTTTACCATAGTAACCAGTTATCCAACACTGATGAAACTTTCCATGATAGTCAAACATAATGATGTGAATAATATCTGTTAATTTCAGGACAAATGGTTACTTATTTTCTTCAAAAAGTTGAACACAAATAAAGAATTCTTTGGAAAAGTGCCACATCCCCTTTCTAAATTTACTTGCATTGCCATATAATCATCAGCAATAGATTCCACTGTGTGGATAAGATAAAACAGCAGTTGATTTAATATTATCAAATATACTTTGAATAAGTTTTCTAAAATGGTTTCATGGTGATTCCTCCCAATTTCATGAAAATAATATGTGTTTTGTCTCATGGGGTATCTTACATTTTGACGAAAATGTGTACTTTTTAACATATGATCTCCATTTCCATAGCAACCAGTTGATCAACTTTAATGAAACTTGTCATGATGGTAGGACATGATAAGTACATGATTACCTGGAAAAATCAAGATGATTGACTCTATATTCTAGGAATGATATACGGCTTTCCAAGTACCCCCCTTAAAATTAAACCAGGGGGTATAAATCTGAATATTTCCAAAACGCTGAAAAACTAGACACCAATAATTTCAGAATCAATGTATAATAATAAACCACAAATAACCTATATGAAGAGAAATTTGCTACTTTTCAAAACCACTTTTACACTATGCTCATCCAGTAAAATCATTTTTCCATTTTTCTACAAATAATATTTTTAATTTCTTTTCAACCATGTTCACCAGATTTTCAGTATCCAGATTTTGATTATTCCAATAATCTAATAAATCACATTTTCTGAGTATATCATAAACCTTGCTTGACCAACTTTTAAATCCTAACTCTTGATTACCCCTATTATATAAGTATGCTTGATTCAATACATTACTCTCTGGAAAATTTAGAAATCTAAGCCAGTATTTTATAATGTAAGATTCAATTTTGATTGATAATGGGTATCTACCTAGGTCACCATATACAGCAGGGCTTGCAGTTTGTGATTTAACGCCTAATGTTGACTTTAAAAAAGACAAATGTATTGACTTTTTATTATTTATGACAACTATATCATGTTATTTACTTTTAATTGTTAAAATAAAGTGTTTCAAATATTCAATTTATATTCTAATTTCTAGTTCATATTGTCTGCCAATGTCCTGGAAATTGGATCAGAACATCACAAGGTGTTTGTAATCATGGGATAAACCCAATATCACATAATTTCTCGTGATATCAAATATCAACACTCATTCGCTTCGCTCACTCGTGTTGATATTTGCTATCAACTCGGCGATAAAAATGATATCACTCAAAATGATGTGATATTCTGTATATATTCAATGAAATTTTGACTTATCCGAAGTTTGTTTTGTTTTCCAGATGAACCGTCCAATACAGGTGAAACCTGCAGACAGTGAAAGCCGGGCAGGTGAGTACTCGAGAAATGTAATAATAGCAAGATGGTCAAGCTTCAGTGGTTTTATTGTCAGTCTTAAGTCTATCTTAATCCTAAAATTCGTTTGTCCTAGATGTATCTTAATAGTACTAATCTAGTGCAAAATAAGAAAATGAGAAGATTTGTCCTTCATGTAAGCTTGTATAATGATGTCACACTTCGTGGGATACTTCTTGGGCTGAAATATGCAGTATATAAATGATAAAAGAATGATATGGCATCAAAAATTGAATCCATGGCTATTGCTGTCCAGCCATTGTATTGAGTAGCCCATTCTATTTATAACTAAAATTTTCATTGGTATATGTTGGAAAAATGAAGTATGACCATCTCTATTATCACCCATTTTTTAAATGAATATAGTAAAAGCAATTTTAGAATTCTCTATAGTTACAGTTTCTATTGTTTTGTAAGACGTCAGTTTATGTCTGCATGAAATTAAGGCAGGCAAAGTAGGATGGCTTATGGACAGGTCCATACATGATGTCAGGTGTGATGTCACACATGGCATCCTGATGTCAGTATATAAGCCTACATGTAAAATGTCAGAGTAAACGATCAAGATTTTTATTATTTCTTAATCATATATCACATCTATGGTTACCCTCTGTTTATTCTTGGATATTTGAGAATAGTTGGGAACCCATAGATTTGATACAAAGCTCATTCATTCTACTTAGCCTTCCTTAATACTACAGTCATTTAAATATTTATCATGGAATGGAATAAAAAAAATATCAGTTATTAAACTAATTGAATCATTATATTAAGTATTGAAAATGAAAAACTCACATGACTATGTGACCATATAAATGTTTTGCATCATCGTCTCTATTAAGTTAGAATTGAAATCTCCAACTCTCTCCTTAAATGACAAAACAAGGTGGGAGGGGGATCAGATTCTTGATGCAAGACAATTTAGAAAATTGTATTTAAATGACTAATTACTGGATATTTATCTTTGCTTTCGCTAGGCCAGGGTAAGTTGAGTTTATGTTTTTTGTTGATCGCCATATTAGGCCAGGATAAGTGAATAACTTGTTTAATGTTGTCTAACGTCTATAATGTAAAAATCAGAATCAAAGATGAGAGGTAAGTCTCTTTCTTTGAATATGAATACTGGGCTTAACTATTTCATCTCAGGATAGGAATACTTCTTTAATAGCTATCTTTGAATGTAAATGTGATTTCGGCTGAATTTTTTTATATTATTTATATTAGGTTGGGGTACTTTTATAATGGCTATATTTGATATTAGGTTGGGGTACTTTTATAATGGCTAAATTTGATATTAGGTTGGGGTACTTTTATAATGGCTATATTTGATATTAGGTTGGGGTACTTTTATAATGGCTATATTTGATATTAGGTTGGGGTACTTTTATAATGGCTATATTTGATATTAGGTTGGGGTACTTTTATAATGGCTATATTTGATATAAGGTTGGGGTACTTTTATAATGGCTATATTTGATATTAGGTTGGGGTACTTTTATAATGGTTATATTTGATATTAGGTTGGGGTACTTTTATAATGGCTATATTTGATATTAGGTTGGGGTACTTTTATAATGGCTATATTTGATATTAGGTTGGGGTACTTTTATAATGGCTATATTTGATATTAGGTTGGGGTACTTTTATAATGGCTATATTTGATATTAGGTTGGGGTACTTTTATAATGGCTATATTTGATATTAGGTTGGGGTACTTTTATAATGGCTATATTTGATATTAGGTTGGGGTACTTTTATAATGGCCATATTTGATATTAGGTTGGGAGTGCTTTTGTATACAAATATGTGATTTGAGTTTAATTATATGATATTAGGTTGAGTATACTTCTGTAATAGCTCGTAGAATACAAATATTTTTGGGCTGTGTTGACCATCAACCAAAGTCTTAAAAGCTATATAAAGGAAATGGTGTACATGTATGTAGCCATAGAGAATGTCAATCAGCTTAATCTGATCTGTCAACCTTCAACCGAACTGAAGATTTTCGGACTCATGGTTTCTTTCATTTCTTAATGTAAATTGATTAGTTAGATTGTATCCCAATGGAAAAGATTCACTATGGTCATGTTTTGAAATGAATGATAGAGTGGAAACATGTACAATAAGTGAGGGATTATGTGAACTGCATTTAGTCTTCACTCTAAATGGTACAGGGATGCAAGAAAATCAGGTACATTGAAAAAGGAAAAATGATACAAGGCATGATACCAGAGAGAAAAATAGAAGGGATTGATTCCTTCTGTAAAAAGGTCAGTTCTTGGATGTTTCTGATTTGAAAAAATGAATTGATTTGTCATTAGATTAATGATTCAAATTAGTTAATTGTTCTACATGGCCTAAAGCCCCAGGTCACCAGGGCCAAGTAGTAAAGTACATGGCTACCTTACCCTGAGTTTTTTGTCCTCATTAATCCTCAGGACCAAATTCCAAGGAAGCTGATGAGCACAGTACGTGCCTACCTTAACACTGACTGTCTACCTTAATCCAAATTCCCCATGGCCCAGGAGGCTGATTAGCACATTACATGCCTACCTTAAACCAGAGTTTCTTGTCTACCTTAATCCAAATTCCCCATGGCCCAGGAGGCTGATTAGCACAGTACAGGTGGGAACTATAATTGGACTCAGACTTGGTGTGCTACAATGGCCTCATCACAAGCAATTAGACTAGCAGCTTAATGATTGTCCCTCTGGGCTGCAATATTAGATCATTTCCAGTCTAATATTGCATAGAGGACTGATTTTGTCTCAAAGTTGACCTGCTTGATGTTTTAATGAAGACTAGGTCATACATAAAATGGTCCCAGTCACTTTTCATTCTAGAATTTTTTTCAGAAAGAGACTTTTTAGTCTAATGTAAGTAAACTATGGTAACTAGATTTTTCATTTTTTGTCAGTTTGTTGTGTGGTTTCTTTCATACTCTGGAATATGTATATAATATGAAGATAGATGGATTTCACACAATCCATCCATCGAAGTACCATGGTCCATATTCTTTTACCAGTATCATTTGACGCTTAAGAGCATTTCATGTATTGGAAATTCAAGATGGTGTAACCAAGTATGATGAGTAGTTGCATCACTTTGATGTAACATCAGAAGGGATATCTTCAAAAGTACCATAATCCCAATAATTCACCCGCTGTCTCAAATAACAGGTTTTGTTCTTGATGATTACATAAGAGTATGATGTGAATTCCCTTTGAATTAATGTCATTAATGTGGTTTTGGTTACTAATTGATCACAGAAGCAAACCCAAGCTACCTGCTCATTAATGGAAATCATTAGATGAATAAGATGTCCGTTTGCTCAAATGTCCGTCTGCTCACACATCACTCTATTTCTCTTTAAAATTTGAATGAAGTGTCTCATTTTCTGACATTTTTACACAATTTGGAATATTCATTTCATGCCTGTTTAATTTATTTCTTGCTTATTCCACTCTTTTACACTGTATTTTGTATTTTAAACCATGACCATATGACTTTTTCTCACAGTAGGTGTGTATTGACAGAAAAGACAATAATATAGCCTCATTGGTACACATGATTTTTTTCCAATTATCTGTATATGTATATTCTATATGGTTGGTTTGTTCTTACTATTTGCCACAATACAAAGGTGTTTGTCTATCTGAGTTGAACATTGTGTTTAACTAGATAGTTGGAACTTTTAGGAATTATGTTTATTTGTCTTTATAGAATACATTTCTTTTAACTTGCATGAGTATCTCGAGGCATAACTTAAATCATGTTTCCATTATTTTTTTCTATACCAGACTGGGTCTACAATAAATATATATTGTTACATTCCCCCCTTCATTTTAAAATGTTCGTCCTGAATGCAATACAAAGTATTGAAACAGAGGACAAACATTTTACAGAGTAGGGAGCAGTGTAATCCATTCACACACTTTGTTTTGGTACTCGATAGATTGATTCCCAAGGTACAAGTGCTGAATATACCATTTGTTATATGATATGCCATTGGTGTTATGTATCACCTGATTGATTCCTAAATGACCCTTGTGTACCTTGTAAATAGACAACCAATCTATTCCCTCAATCATACACATAGTATGTCTATGTGACGTCTATGTCAGTAATCTGCAAAAGGCTAGTAAGCCTTAACATTTAAAAATAGATTTATGGTTTACAACTCATTATGAAAACAGCCTCAACTGTTTTGGTGGTCAGCATCTAGCATTTGATGGATGTAGGCCTGCATCTGCAACAAATGGCTGGTGGTGAAATTTACATGTTAATGCCTTGTTAATTTTAAAATGTAGTGCCATGGGGTGTACTGGCCTAATGCAAATTACCTTCTTCATGAAAATGGCACAAGATGAAATACATTAACAAATATATATTGCTTTGCTTTGAGTGCAAATGAAATTATTTCTCTAAAATTCATTAAAGCTGATTAATTGGCAATTATCTGTTGATTTTTTATCTTATTGAATTGTTGCTCTTTTAATAGATTCCAAATCTAATAGCAAACAATAAAGCAGAAATGAAATCAAAAGAAGACATGAAATTAATTGCTTTCTTTGTTCTGCATATTGAATTGAAAATATTTTTTTAATCATTAAGGCTGATGTTACTTTTCCATGCATACTTTTCTATAAGTTTAGTATCAGCGCTTGCAACAGTCAGAAATTAATAAAGCTGTGTTAACTCCTTGTCATTTTGATGTCACCACCATAAGTGGTGACATATCGTTATAGTCTACAACTTTTTTGTAGCAGCAGTCAGTGGTTGGTGTTTGTAACAAATGGCGAGTGGTGACATTTACATGTGAATGCCTTGTTTCGGCATGTTATTTCCACATATTATGCCACTTAATGAGTGTGCTTAGTTTTTAAAATCTTGGTTTGTTTCTTAGTCTGTCAATGATAAAAATTGTAGGCTGTTAGGAATCAAGATTTGGGTGACAGAACCGTTGTGAAACATCGCTTGAATCTGTTTTAAGGCAGTTTTAAGGCATATGCTGCTGTCGATTGTGCTTTTGTGTAACCCCTCATATTTGTTATGTAACCACAAGCAAGCTCATCATATGATATCACCTGCACAATATGATATGGTGTTGTTTTTAATGTTACATTCAATCTAATATGTTCTAGGACTATTCGAAGACTAAGTGAATCTTTGTAAGTAGTAGGTCCTCCACAGCGTTCAGATATAGTGATCTTTATCAGCCAATGTATGCTGAGGGTCAAGATAGCTTTTCAGCAATTTCGTCAATGAGACAACTGAGAATTTCTTCCATTATCTTGTTAAGTTACACGGGTGAGTGTCTAATCATTTCTTCAAGTCCAAAGTGACCTTGACCTTCACAGGTTCCAAATTTATCTTAATTAAAAGTAAGAAAGGTTGAATTCCTTTTGAATGTATAATTAGATAAAATCCCCCCCCACATACCTTCACCATGTAAAGATACACTAAACCTGGTGAGTGGATCTATTTGGTTCCTCAAAATAATGTTCCACTTGGGAGTTGTTCCACTCATGAGGTGAATTTACATATAGTTTATAAGTAACTGGATTTTGAAAAATGTTCCACTTATGAAGGTGTTTCATTTTCTTATTATGGTCCATATACAGAATTGATAGATAGCTGGATCTTATTTAAATGTTTCATAAAGAAATTAAGAAAATGTTTTGCTTTGGAATTCACTATATCATAGTCTATCAATCAGAAGATGTCTTTAGAATATAACTAGCATGAGCAGATTTCAGCTCCGAATAATAATAACAGTTTTAGAGCAATTAGTTTAGGACTTCCAGACAATCTCCACAATATCAGGTAAGGAGGTACCTGGCTGATGAGAAAGTGGAGACAGTTTATTGTCTGCGATAACAAAGGAGACTTTAAACGTCTCAAGTTATGATTGCTTTGATAAATGATTGGACATTAAAAGTGATATAACTTTGATTTATTATTATTTACTATGTAACAAGTG